CGCCGTTTTGAAACGGCCCACCCCATATCAGAACGGCCCACCGTATCTTAACGGCCCTCCGTTTCTTAACGGCCCACCGCATCAAAACGGGCCACCGTTTAAAAACTGCCCACCGTTTAAACATGGCCCACCGTATAATACGGCCCACCGTATAATACGGCCCACCGTATCAAAACGGCCCACCGTATCAAAACGGCCCACCGTATCGAAACGGCCCACCGTATCAAAACGGCCCACCGTATCGAAACGGCCCACCGTATCAAAACGGCCCACCGTATCTAAACGGCGCACCGTTTCAAAACGGCCCACCGTATCTAAACGGCGCACCGTATCAAAACGGCCCACCGTTTAAACATGGCCCACCGTATCAAAACGGCGCTTACTATCAAAACGGCCCACCATATCTAAACGGTGCACCATATCAAATGGGCCTCCGTATCAAAACGGGCCACCGTTTCAAAACGGCCTACCGAATCAAAACGGCCCGCCGTATCATAACGGCCCACCGTATCAAAACGGCCCACCTTGTCAAAACGGCGCACCGAATCAAAACGGCCCACCGTATCTAAATGGCGCACCGTATCAAAACGGCCCACCGTATCAGAACGGCCCACCGTATCTAAACGGCCAACCGTATCTTTACGGCCCACCGTATCAAAACGGGCCACCGTTTAAAAACTGCCCACCGTTTAAACATGGCCCACCGTATAAAACAGCCCACCGTATCAAAACGGCCCACCGTATCAAAACGGCCCACCGTATCAAAACGGCCCACCGTATCAAAACGGTCTACCGTATCGAAACGGCTCACCGTATCTAAACGGCCCACCGTATATAAATGGCACACCGTATCAAAACGGCTCACCGTATCTAAACGGCCCACCGTATCTAAACGGCCCACCGTATCGAAACGGGCCACCGTTTTAAAACGGCCCACCGTATCAAAATGGCCCACCGTATCAAAACGGCCCACCGTATCCAAACGGCCCACCGTATCGAAACAGCCCACCGTATCAAAACGGTCCACCGTATCTAAACGGCGCACCGTATCAAAACGGCCCACCGTATCTAAACGGCCCACCGTATCAAAACGGCCCACCGTATCAAAACGTCTATCATTGTCAAAGTACTATCATTGTCAGGACGCTTGACGGCGCACAACGTGCCGAAGGTAAGGTATCAGTCATGCAAATTTGGCCACTCTTCCTGAAAGCGCGGAGGGCTCCGTTTGCGGAATTCTCTGCTTTATGAAATCTTAACTGATATACCTGTGACTGCTACATGTTATTTTTTCTGAAAAACTGTGCAGTGAAAAATTTTATATGTACAATTGAAAATTCAGCTTTCTTTCTTTTACTAAAATTAAAATTTGACCTTATTCCTTCTTGCAATGAAAAATAATCGGGTTTATTGATTCTGTCTTCTTCTTTAGGCTTCCTTGTTTGGGCTTGTTGCGCTTATGCCATTCAGGCTTCTTTTCGGCTATGTTGTAGGCCACTGGAAAATAATTTAGTGTTCTCTTAACCTGTGCCGAGAAAGGTGCGCTCAAAAAAGTTTAAAAATTATGAACCGTACAAAATTTTATAAAAACGAACTTGTAAAACAGTTATATAAATCTTTTAAAATTAAATGCTAAAAATTGATTGGTGTAAAACTGTAACTGCAAAATTTGTTCCCCTCAAAAGTTCAAGGATATGCATTAAAAAGTAAGGAGAATTCTGGCGCAAGTGAAAAAGGCAAATGAAGCCTCACAAAAAGAGCAATTACAATTATTTTAATATTTTAATTTATGAGAATCGACATTTATTTTTATCCATTTGAATTATGGTCAAGTTGATACAATATTTAATATTCAACTAATGATCAAAATGCGGAGTTACAAAAAGTAATCATGAGCTTTTGTCAGAAAAATAAAGTATTTTGACTTTTTCTGTTATTATTTTACAATAAAATTTAATTTTGTAAAAGATTGTTGTTAAAATTATTAAATTATTGTTTATTTTAATTATAATCAAGTTATGACGAACAAATTTTAATTGTAGAATAATTGAGAATATCGCGACCAGAAGATGCAAAAAGAGACACAGCCGCAGTGGTGTTCTATATACTGTGGTGGACTTCCTCCGCATTTTTATTATTACCACCTATTATACTTACACAATAAAAACAAAATTATTGAAGTTAATAGTGTGTATAAAAAACTTGCATAAATAGTAATAAATGTCGTTTACATTATTTATTGCAAAAAGGCAAAAAGGTTAATTAATAATTATGGTGTTTTATCTGATAAGTTCGATTAAAATACTAATTTTTTATTGATAAATTAAAACTTGTTAAATAAGAAATATTTGAGCAAAACATAAAAATATAATTTACATTTAAATTATAATCATTGGTTTTAAAATAATATAATGTACTTTATTAAGCAAAAAGAGTAAAAAAAATTTAATTTTTACATAAATAACAATTTTATTACAACTTAATACTTTGAAAAACTACCGCACAAAAACAAATGTATATGCGAAAAATGCTGATGCAAAGTCCACTTGTTTGAATGTAGTAAAAATAAAATAAGCCTCTTAGAAGTTGCTCGGAAATAAAAAGTAAATTTTTTAAACATTGTAAATTGTATTACCATTTTTGTATGTTGTACACACACGTGCTTAATAAATATTTTGATGATGATGAATACTTTGAAAAAAAAAATTATTATCAATGTTATTAAAATTAACATTAAATTATTGTTTTTGATTAATTTTTTTTTAAAGTATTCTAATTATATATTAATTATATTAACTTTCATAGATTAACCACCGACACTAGAAAAGCATTTTTTTTTTCATTTGTCACTCAATTCCAAGTATTTACATAATAAACTTAAGTCGATTGACGCATAGCTATTTATAAGGATCCATGTTTTAATTTTATTACTGCATAATTCAAGTTTTAAAACTTAATTTCCTTAATTACAGCAATATATTGTATTAAAAATTAAAATAGAAAAAAGTAAACCAACAATAAGGCCGCACTTACAAGAAATCGCAAGTGCGGATTAGATATCAACGGCGAAATGTATGGCGGAATGAAAATGAAATTGCAAAAGGCACAGCGGAAGCGAAATCTACGTCGAAAATGACGACCGACTCGACATGAGCTGAAGGATGAATAAAGTGGTAATTCTTTCCTCCGCACTCGCCAATCAGTCTGGGGAAGTTTTTATACGAGTTGATGTTCTTTCCAACTTGAGCCCACAATCGGTTGAATGTTCTACGATTATTTAAAAATTAAGGAAGATAAAAATTTGATGTCTAAGATAAAATTACTGGACAGATCCTGTGAAGTTGATGCCAGCAAGCTGAGGAGACGCAGTGATCGTATCACCAAAAAATGGTCCGTCGGCAGGGACAAAGTTGACCACACCAGCAGGAACGCCAGCCTCTCTACAAATTTTGTAGATGACGTAGTTGGACAACACAGCTGTGTCCGACGGCTTCCACACCACTCCATTACCCTGGTGTAAAAACTTATTATCCGGGGCGTTTTGAAATAATTATCATCTCACCATCAGAGCAGGAGTGTAGGCAAGGTTGCCACCGATGGCCGTGAAGTTAAATGGGGGCGACAGCCGCCACAAAACCTTCAATGCCTCGATATCGCATTGAATTTTTGGTCTTGGCTTATAGGTTGATATTTCAACAGTTCCTTAGCAAAATACGCATTAAATCTAGAAATTTAAAAAAAAAAAAATGTTAATTTTGTGCTTAAATTAACAATTTCAAAGTGTACCGGAAGAAATCTATCAATTCTGCAGCAGAATCGATTTCTGCCTGCACTGCAGTCTTTCCTTGGCCCAACATGGTTGCTGCGTTCAGCTCCATGCGGTACTTTCCAGCCATCAAGTCGGCAGCCTTATTCCAAATAGAAAGACGTTCGTCCAGAGGTGTTCGGTCCCAACGCTTTTGGGCGTCAGTCGCAACATTGATGGCTTTCTTCACCTCCTCTTTTGATGCATGGTAAAACTTTGCAATGTTCTTTTTGTGGTCGTGGGGCTAAAAATGATACTTTGGAAATTAATATTTCTCGCTCTTTTGTTTCTTTTTTTAATATCATACCATGACTTGGTACTGGACATCTGAGTTTTTAATTTCCTTGTCGCCAATGATAATCGGAACATCTTGACACTGAGAAGAGAGCTTGTCGAGAGCTGCCTGCAGCTCTTTCCGCTCCTTACTCCCTTTGAGATATCCTACACAATTTGATAAATAGAGAGAAATTATGTTTGATGCAGTTTTCCTACCTAAAATGGGCTCGTTTAGTACTCCGAAATCCTCGACCTTAGGTAACTATGTTGACAACAGAGCCAACAGATCGCTTGGACACCCTGAAAACAAGTTGTTTTGGTCACTTGTGGGCAATCAAATTAAGCAGCTAATTACTCATGTAAAACATAGAAAACAAAATGTGTCTCAAATGTTCTGGAAGTGTTAAAAGTTAAGTACAGGTTATAATCAAACTAAAGTCAATAATTTTAGCTGATTAAAATTGAGATAAAAAAAAAAATTAGAGTTTTTACAAGAAAAATCTATATATTCAAGGTGGTAACAAAAGTTTTTTTTCTTGGAAGTGGTCCAAGAGCAAGACACAGTGTCTGAAGAGAAATATATTAACAGACCAGTTTTGCAACTTGTTAATATAAAACCAAGATGTTGAATCTGATGACAGTTTCAACCTTGAATGATGCACACGTGGAAAAAAAACAATTTGAAATAAACAAAAGCTAAAAAAAAAATTGCAACGTTACTCCCTATAAATAAGAAAAATTAAAATAAATAGTTTACTAGACGGTTTTTTTTTTTTTGCTAAGTATGGAATTGATTGAAGCGTAAAATATAAGTGTATTGACATGCAAAATGGGGTGAAAAAGGAAAAGTATTTTGCAGTGTCGTCTGTCGTAACACGACCTACCGATCGCATTGTATTACACAAACAACATAATCAGCTGTGAAAGAAATGTCGACTAAATCACTAGGCCAATTTCTTAGCAGGGAATTCTCTGATAAAAACAGCAAATTCTTCACCTGACGATGTGACTGACGAGGGAAAGGTTTGCGTGCTTCAACATGATTGCTTCGAACTGCTATCCGGAGATGCTGATCGTGTCTTTGTCTACTAGATTCGATGTCAAAATTCCTAAAATTGCGGCTCGGCCTCCATCAGCCGCTGTTCACTCTTATGGCCGTGTCTTTTCTCATGCGACATGCGTTGTGGTCACGTGACTCTTTCGTTCTCAGCAACGGAGTTTTCATTATTTCGACGTCTCATAGATGGCGCAGTGCGGCGGATATGCGAAATAAATAAAAATATGAAGACAAAAAATAATATATTTTTGTTTACTTTTGCGGTATCAGAGACATTATGAGGCTGATTATTAGTTTTGAGCTTCAAGTTTGATTATTAAAATAATTTGAACGGAATAATTTGGAAGGTTAGTACTTAGTAGTAGTATTATTGCTTATTTCAATTGTAGGGTTTGAAGATATTAATAGATGCGGAGGTTTAAAAGCAAAATTTGAACATGCATTATGCGCCAGTAATCACAATTTCTTGATTATATTTCGATATAATAAATTTATTTTACTGTACAATCTGCTCAGCACGTACGATAAATTTTTACAATTAATTCGTTTTATCATAATATATAATAATATCATATTATTATTTTATGTAATATTTACAATTAAATCCTCCAAATTCATAAGTGAGAACATGCAGCAAAGAATTTTGTTGAAAATTACGAAAAATTAATGTGCTGTGTGTGTATTGCTCTACATGTACATAATATAATTTTGAGGTGGAACAAATATTACGTAGTATTCTTGTTTAATTTTTATTTAATATTATTAAACTGCCACATTAATTGTAAGCAAAATGCACTTTTATTTATTTTTCTTTGAATTTCAGAAGAGCTTCATCTTTCATAGAGATGGAGGGCGACCCAGTCGACGATCAACATGCAGCAGCAGCAACGTCTGTAGTCCTCTTCGTGTCCAAAAAATGTTCAGGAAGAGCCGAGCTGAACATTCAGATTCGTCGTTGCCATTACAAAGGGTGTGATAGTACTTCTGCTGACGAAATTGACATGAAATGTGTGCCCAAGCCCACAAGCGCCAAAAATTCAGAGTAAGTACATTGCTTAATAATTTTGAATTCAATTATTTATTTTTTGATATAGGTTTATTTTACAGTGAAGTAATTTTTCTTTTAGCTTATTGTATACAATTGTACATATTTAAGTGAAATTTAATTAATTTCCTCAGGCGAAGAGAGCAATGGCTGATGAATATGGGCTTGCCCATCGATGATGAGAAAACTGATATACGCTGCTGCGTATTGCACTTTCATGAAAAGTGGTTCTATGGAAATGGAAAGCTAGTCAAAGATGCGGTGCCCGAACCATACAAAGAACGTTCAATAGTACGACAAAATCATACAGAAAATATTTGCAAATTTTATTTTATTTTTCATTCTCTAAAATTTTTTAGGCAACTTCACATTTGAGGCCTTGTGAAGTGATTGATGAGATCGAAGAAGCAGGTGTGCCCTTATTACCAGAAACTACGGAAAAACACTTAACTACGAATCCTTTACGAGGGCTGAAGAATTTGAAAAATAGTTGCTACATGAATGCTACGTGCCAGGTATAAATATGATAAGTTGTTCAAGCCTTTTAAATATGTTGTTGTTGTTCCTTGTTGTGACTGATAGGCATGGTTTGCCTGCTTCCGCATGCAAACCACGGTGATGAAACATAAAAAAGCAGACTGCAGTATTGAGAAAGGCAAAGGTTGTATAATTTGTCTTTTGAGAGACTTGTATGAAGATCTTGTGCTCAATCACTCCGACCCAGTGGTACCCTTAGCATTTGCAGAATTTGTTTGGGGTAAAAATTGGGATTAAATCTCTGTAAAAATATTCACAATTTTTTTCTGGTCAAGGCATGCAAGGTTTTCCTCGAGGCCAACAGCAGGACAGCATGGAGCTGCACAGAGAGTTGTTAGCTTCATGTGAGAAAGTGGATAAAAGTGGAATTGCAGAGCTATTCTCAGGAAATGAAGTTTACGAACGTAAGAATAGCCTTTTGATATAAATATTCTAAAAATAATAGTTGTTCCTTGATAATTTAACAGGCACCTGTCTGATCTGCAAAAAGAAAAGCTACTCCTCTCAACCAATGCTTGAGCTGTGTCTGCCTTTAGCAAAAAGTGTGCTTGATGGAGTGCATACTTATCTTGAATCCGACATGGATTGTATGAACGGACCATACTGCTCTCGTTGTCGACGAGGGACCCCTCAGAGAGAGAGAATTTTCTTCAAAGATCTACCACCAATTTTAGTAGTGCAGTTAAAGAGGTGATCTGAGTTATTAATGATGCGGCCAAATTGAATTTCATTGTTAATAATTTATGCTATTATTTTTATTTTTAGTTTCACCAAAATTGCATTTTATTTTCTACAGCTTTCTTTGTCAAAATGAACCGACATGATTTGTATGAATTCAAATATTATGTTGAAAGATAATAACAACAAATTTTGGTTCGGATCATAATTCTTCACCTTCTGTATTGGTTGTGTTAAACTACTGTCAGGGAAGTTCAATGATATTGGCAAAAATGAACATTTACTTTTTGGTTCCTATTGAAATAATACAGGTGGAGGTATTTGAGTGGTGTCGGAAGTTTGTAATTGTTTGTGACGTCTCTTATTGTCCTGTGAGCAACAACGAGAAAATACTATGGTGGAGATTGCAGTGACTGGATCATTGTTGGTAGCAATCAATTATTTTTTGGAAAATAAATTTTTTTAATATTTAATTGCTCAAAACCATAGATTCTCCAACGAATTAGTGAAACAGAAGAAGGAAATCGTGGTGAATTTCAATTTAACCTTGAAAGAAACAGCGTTCAAGAAAATGGATGGCAACATTGTTGGAATTGGTGGATGCACATCCATAGAATACCATTGCAGAGCCATCATACATCATAATGGTGGCCTGCAAAATGGTCATTATGTGTGCCAGGGGTTGAAAGATGATGGAACTGTCATTGTCTACAACGATTCGAGCGTAAGTCAATACTAATTCTGGGTTGAGGCGGGGCCCATTAAGACTATTAAGATTTGGGATCCTTTTATATATATATATACAATATAATATGGTACTTACTATTTAATTTAATATTTTATGATGTTAAATGTTTCCCACAGGTCTCTAAATTTAATTTGGAGAAAGGTGACTCCCAGACAAGTGACACTGCATACATAATACTCTACGAAAGGAAATCCACTCCTGACAGCCGGCAAAATAGTGATTTCTCAGCATTTGGTATTATTTGATTTATAGAATAGTAAAAATAAGACACGATGCTGTTTTATTAAGTGGTAGTGGCTGTTTTCCATATGTGTATTCATTCCTTTCTAATTATTGCAGTTCAACCTTTTTCGTCACCCACCAGTCGAATAATAATAAGCAGTCCACGAACGCCTCTGCGAACACTACAAGTAACTGATTCTGCAAACAACAGTGAAGAAACTAGGACAGGTATGTCAAGCCCAATGTTGGGTAGTCGAAAACACCACCATCAAGAGGCTGAGCAAAGGACTCCGCAAAAGAAGGAAAGAGAGCGTGGAGGAGTAAAAAATCCAGGGTCACCTTACTCGCCACCTCATAAACAAGAAAGACGTGGGAGAACTCAAAGAAACCTGGCCCCACTGCCCAGACCTGAACATGCACAATCAGCTCAACGAGGAACGAGTCCCCCTGATGTGATTAATGGCAAATCTCGATTGGCAACATCGAGGTCAAGTATCGGATGTAAGTTGTTAATTTTTTTTTTAACTTTTTAACTTTTAACAATTCAAACTTTTTAGTATTAACTGTGTCGAGCATTTCACCAAGTCGTGGTCAAATGACACAAAAAAGTACTTTGAGGACACACAAAACAAAAATTGCTGCTCGTTCACATAGTGTGCTCACCGAGCGCTTCGATAACTCGCCCACACCAACAAATTCACCAATTGCAGGGAATTTGTATCAGCAGTCTCCAAGCCCAAGACGAATTGGTTTTGATTGTCAAACCTTCCAAATGCAAGAAGTCTCACCTGATTTGTTAACAACCAGCGAATCAATAAGCAGTCCTCGAACGCCGCTGCGACAACTACAGGATGTAGAACCTTCTTTGAGTCAGAGTCATTTGTCTGCCTGCTTGCCAGCATCGTTTCAGAGCCAAAATCCGAGCACGCCTTCTGAATCTACGCAGTCTACATGTCCTGCTGGTACTCCTCTAATACACATACAACAACCAAAACCTACTAAAAGTAGTCAGACTGCACCTTTGAAAGGTAAAAATATTTGAATATTTATTTTCCACTTTGTAACCGTTCACTATTAATTGACTGCGAATTGGCACAAAATTTTGGTTCACATCGCCATTCTATAATAAAAATATTTGTTGTTGGGGTTGATAGAGGGCCATGTAACGAAGATTTGAATACAATTTTTTTTTTTTTTTTTTGGAATTTAATGTCTTTCGAAAAGTCAAAATTGCAAATATTTTTACTTCTAGTGGGAATTTTCATCTGCTCCTATTAGTTCTGTTAATTCTTATTCTGAGCAACTTTGCTATTGACAATTTTTATGTGGGTTAGAGCTCAATGTTAATTGCAAATTTTATTTGAAAAGGAGAATTGCCTCAATTTTTCAATTTGTAGCTGTAGTTAAAAAAACCTGATTTTAGATACTCCGCGCAGGCAAACCGTGGTATATCCCTTGTCAAAAATGAGACAGTCAGAGGTCGTACTCGAGGTCAATCGAGACCATGGTCTCGAACGACCTCGAAGGCGACCTCCGACGGTCTCGAACGACCTCATATTTTTTCATGCTGAATGTTTAGGGGCAACGGTTGCCCCTTGGTCTCGAACGACCTTGAACGGTCTTGGACGACATCGGCCGGTCTCGAATGGCCTCGGAGGTGTCCATCAATCTCGAACGGTCTCGGGCGACCTCAAACGGTCTTGAGTGACCTTTGGTGTTTATAAATTGAAAACCATTTAGGGCAACTGCTCATCTGTTTCAAGCGGTCTCGAGCGACTGTCGAGTAGAATGAGGAAATTGTATTTTTTGTTTGATTCCAGTTGAATATTTGAACATTTTTTTTTTATGTTATTTTTTATTAAAAAAATTTTTTCTCGGAAAAAAATTAAATATCAGATGGAAAGATATATATGTGTTTAATATTAAAATTAATTTCATTATTGATGAACATATTATTTATTTTGTATAAATGAAAGCTTCATTTCTGATAATAAAAAACTAATTTTAACTAAAATCCGAATGCGCCTCTCGTTTATATTTTATGATTTTTTAGTATGTAGAAAAATAGTTATAAAAAAAATTGCTGAAGAATAATAATAATGTAAGCTTGTGTGATATGATTTGGAGATGTATAAAATTGCTCTGTCAAATAATTTTTTTACTGAAATTTTTATTTGTATAACAAGAAATGAAACACGATTATTTAAAATCATATATAAAATAAAAAAATTAATGTTTCATCAATAATGAAATTAATTTTAAGATTAAACACATATATCTTTCCATCCGATATTTAATTTAATTATTTTCTGAAAAGAATTATTTAATAAAAATTAACTTCAAAAACTTAAAATGCTCAAATAATTCGACTGGAATCAAACTAAAAATATAATTTCCTCATTCTACTCCACAGTCGCTCGAGACCGTGCGAGGTCGATCGAGACCGTTCGAGCTTAGATCGCTCGAGTCCATTTGACCCAGAGGGGCAGTTGCCCCAAATGGTTTTCAATTTCGTCGATGGACACCTTCAAGACCGTTCTAGACTGGCCGAGGTCGCCCTAGACCGTTCGAGGTCGTTCGAGACCGAGGGGCAACCGTTGCCCCTAAACATTTACCATGTAAAAATATGAGGTCGTTCGAGACCGTCGGAGGTCGCCTTCGAGATCTTTCGAGATCAAAACTGACCTTGACCTTTGACGTGCAATTTTGTGATCAACAGCAAAGTTGCAGAGCTTTCCGAGACAAATCCAGCCATAGCACTACAAAATCCAAATTTCAACGTCACGTAAAACCCACAAATTTTGAGATGTCGGGGTAAAACTATATATGTATGGCGGATATAGCCCCATGACATGATCTATAAGTCCTCCAAATTTGGTTTTGATCGGTCAATCCCTGCCAATGGATCGTACCTTTCACGACTTCGTGCTACCCTATTAATAATGAATAATTACAAAATGTCATTAAAAATTTTTTTTATAATTTTTAAATTTTTTCAAACAATTACTGCAAAAATGATGGTAAAAAATGAAAATTAACAATTATTGTATAAATGGAAAAAATGGGGAAAAAATGGAATTTGAAATTATTAATAATGTATTCGTAAGTTAATTGATTAATTTAGATTTTTTTTTAAATATTTTAAAACAATAACAATTTTGTTTTAATGTTGTTGAAGTAAAAATGAAAACAAAAATTAAATTTTTTATATGCGGCATTATTTTTTTTAAGGGACCCACTTTTGGCATGGGGTCGGCGGATCTTGTTGAAAATTGGTAGTTTGGTTGCCCTTAGGGTGTAGACAAATAATTTAGAACGATTTTTGAAAATTCTCAAAATTGCCTATTTAACAGGGGTTCAAAGTTTGGGATTTTTAAAAAAGGTGTTTTCGAAAATCAGAAATATCTCAGCTCCTGTTGCAGATAACGCATTTGTGTATATGAGTAAAGTTGTAGAAAATTAGACGCCCTACAACTTTGCCACAGTGACCAAGGTCATAGGTCAAAGTTTGGGGTCACCTTTTTGAGCTTCAATTTTTTGATGCGCCACCAAAGTACCTAGTACATAAAAATTTTTGATTCCATTATAGCCAAAAGTTGCTCTAGTTGGTAGATAACAACATGTTAAAAATTGGTGAGACATGTTTTTTTCGTTTTTGAGATATTTCAGGTCGAATGGCAAAAAACGTGGTTTTCCGAGCATTTTCCCACACAAACCAACATTTAACCGCCCGTAACTTTGTTCCTGTTAAGGTTACGCAAAAATGTGTAATGACAAAAAATAATTGTCATGATTTGAACTTTTGAAACATGTATTGCACATGGTGGCCAGGTCACAAAAGGTAATTGACCTCGGTGACCTGTGACCTTTCCAAAATATTTTTGGATAGTTTTACACGTAAGTGGATAGAAAACATTATTTGAAATATTTTGGTATTTGAAATGGTGTTTTCAATTTAAGGAAAGGTCACAGGTCAATGACCTTTTGTGACTTGGCCACCATGTACAATACATGTTTTAAAAGCTCAAGTCATGGTGATCATTTTTTGTTATGACACATTTTTGCGTAACCTTAACAGGAACAAAGTTACGGGTGGTTATATGTTGGTTTGTGTAGGAAAATGCTCGGAAAACCACGTTTTTTGCCATTCGACCTGAAATATCTCAAAAAGGAAAAAAATATGTCTCCCCAATTTTTAATATGTTGTTATTTACCAACTAGAGCAACTTTTGGCTATAATGGAATCAAAAATTTTTATGTACTAGGTACTTTGGTGGCGCATCAAAAAATTGAAGCTCAAAAAGGTGACCCCAAACTTTGACCTATGACCTTGGTCACTGTGGCAAAGTTGTAGGACGTCTAATTCCCTACAACTTTACTCATATACACAAATGCGCTATCTGCCACAGGAGCTGAAATATTTCTGATTTTAAAAAACACCTTTTTTTTAAATCCCAAACTTTGAGCCCCTGTAAAATAGGCAATTTTGAGAATTTTCAAAAATCGTTCTAAACTATTTGTCTACACCCTAAGGGCAACCAAACTGCCAATTTTCAACAAGATCCGCCGACCCCATGCCAAAAGTGGGTCCCGTTAAAAAAAAGAATGCCATGCATTAATTTATTAAGTTATTTTATATAATAACAATTATACATAATTTATATGACATATAAAAACATTTTATATATTATGATATTAAAAATGAAATAAATAATTTTTAATTTACCCACCTCTTATCAATCACAACAACATATACTTTGCATACAGTGCATACAGAATGGCAATTATGATTAAAAATTTAGGCCAATTCGCGGTTAATCATTTGTAAACAACGGTCCGTTCCTTTCATGAAACTTAGAAGAAAGAATATATTAAAAAAATTTCAACTTTTCCTTTTATAGCCAAGAGAGTTTTGTACCAAAGGTTGGATAACAAAATCCTGATCTCATTAAATAAAAAGAAAGATAAAGAACTTAAACGATTACGAAAACTGAATAAGAAGCGGAGGCAAAGTAAATTACATCTTCAAGAAAGCTCCTTAGAATATTTGAAAAATAGTTTGCCGCCCCGAGCCGTGGAGTTCATCAAACGACAAATTAAATTGCATAAGGTTGGCATAATATACCAATGGATTTATGGATTAAAAATGGAGCACTGCGTGCGCTGCAACTTTTTTTATACATTTACATTAAAATATATTTAACTTTATTCCGCAGGCTAAGCCACAAGGTCGCCGGTATGAGCAAGAAGATTTGATTCTCTCACTGGGTTTGAGAAAAGGAGGAAGAAAGGCCGAAGCTGCATTTAAGGACATGTTTATCATACCCTCAAAGAAAACGATGTTCCGCTTTGTTCAGGGATTGAACCTGCAGGCAGGCTTACAGGAATTCATATTAGATGGAGTAGAAGCCTTTGTTGAAACATTGGAAGATTCGAGGGACGCGTTTGCTGTTCTTATCTGGGACGAGCTGAAAATTGATGAGTTTTTGGCTTGGAGCAACAAATGGAAGAGGTTTATTGGATTTGAAGACTTTGGATCTGAAAAACTACCATCTAGAGCAGGAAAAGAAACGTCACATGTTGTATGTGACCATGCTCTCATATTCTACGTTGTGTTATTACGAAACAGAAAAGTCAAGGTATATCATCCATAAGGATTTGTTTTAATACCACCACATTGTTATAAAATGTTCACAATTTTCAGTTTCCAGTGGCATATTATTTTTGCAAAGACATGACACCATCTCATATATTGGCTGACCTTATTGAGGTCAATGTACAGCGAGTACGCGCAAAAGGAATAAAACTTGTATTCGGCACTTGTGATCAGGCACCTTGCAATCTGAAAGCGCTGAAGATATTGAACACTTCAGTTGAGAAACCATACTTTTTGCAAAATGGTAGCGTAATGAAATTATTAAGTAGCATTTAACTTTTAATTAAATTAATTTCTTGATCTTGTAGGACTGGAATTTTTCTGCGCGCCGGACGCTGTCCACATACTAAAATGCCTCGTTAGTCTTTTTCGGAGGTACGATGTGGAGCTAAGACCAGGTCAATTTGCAAAGATTGCGCACATCGAGGAACTGCTGCGAGTAAAAAAAAAACTTGTTGGCACAACTCTAGCGCCGAAACTCACTGAGAAGCATGTATATGCTAGGGATAAACTAGCAATGAAATGCGCATTGGCCTTTCAGTTAGTTAGCTCATCCGTCAGTGCGGCTCTGAACACTTTACTTGCTAAAGGTGCTTATAACATATAAAAATATATCTATTCTCACAAAATTTGTTAGGTCTTCTTCCGTCCGATGCAAAATATACTATAGAGTTTGTCGAGTTCATGGACAATTTGATCGACAGTTTTAATGGAAGTGAATTTAGCGATGTAAAGGTTTTGAAAGCCCGGTATGTTATTTAAAGTTTATTAAAGATGTGCTGCCAATTAATTTATTCTTTTAAACACTTCAATATCAGCCTCCATAAGAATTCAGCCCACTGGGAATTCTGGCAAAAGGCCGAGCAGTACATGTCTGGCTGGAGGTTTGTCAAAAAGGATGGGTCAACTGTGTATACTCCATCTATAGAGTCAACAATAAGGTTAATCAAAACCCTGCAAAATTTTTATCCGTTCCTGGAACGCCATGGTTTTGATTATTTGCTGACCAGAAGAATCCAGCAAGACCCGGTTGAGCATTTCAATGGAGAAATGCGAGAGCAGGTGGGAGGTGGACGAGACCCCACTGCAATGAATTTTGCCACTTGTTTTGTCAGCGCATTTCTCAGTCAGCTAATGATAAATAGTGTACCAAATAAGAATCGCAACTGTGAAAACGATGGACTGTCCTGCACTCCACTTGCCTCTTTTATTTTCGATTCTATGTATAAACAGGTTAATATTTATGAAACAAGCCATTTATTTTTTAGAAGTAAAAATATAATATTTACCGTAATTTTCTTCTAGTCTCAAAGAACCCGATGTTCTCTTCCTAGTGGTGATGATAGTGAAGAAGACGAGGAGCAATTAATTGGTGATGGTGAAGTTGAATTCGATTTGGACAGTTTACAAGAGCAGTGTGACTCCTACTACGCCGGAGTTTGTCTTCGAAAAATTAACACCAAGTTAAATTGCAAACCATGTATAGAAACAGCAACATCAGAAGAGATGCTGCCAAGTCAAATTTATGTATCTTTTAAAGAGTACTCAAACACTGAAGATAGGTTGTTTTATGCTAGTGATGATTTTTCTACGTCAGTCTGCTCTATGCTCCGAGGAACCTTATGTCTACTTAAGAAATCTGCACACAAATCCAACATATTTCAAACTGTCAAAGAAGGTATATTTAACTCCACTATACCATTTTCCTTTGGCTGTGAGGAGCATAGAGAAATGTTTGCAAATATTCTAAACTCTTATATTATTAAATGTTCAGTATATTGGTATGCAAAAAAAGTGAATAGAAAAGAGATAAAGATATAACAAAAAATTCATGCTTTTATATATTTTGGTCACTCCATCAAATTCTTTGATATAATATTATTTTTATCTTTTTAAACATTGATTGTCATTCTTGATGAAATTTTATTTTGTTATAGTTTTTTATTTAAGGAATTAAGCTTTTGAAAGGATTGAATGACATTTTTTATGAAAATATTTTTATTATGATACAAATAAAAAGAAAGCTATATTTTGAATTTAAAATAATCTAACAATATAATTTAGATTCATAAAACTGAAAAATATAAATTAGGTTTTTTTATTTTTAAAAGTGGTTTTCGTTTTAATTTTCTCATTTTGTATGAATGTTCTATTGTTCTGCTTTTAATTATTATCATAATTAAATTTCGCTACAAGTAATAATATTTATTATAAAATTTAAAAAAAAGATAATTATTAGGTAGACCGCGCGCATTAAGTAATTCAAAAGTAGATCAAGATGTCTGCTATAAAGCCTGAAATCAAAAGCGACACGGCCACCCTAAATTTTATCAATTTTACCACTTTTTATCATTTTTTATTAAAAACAACATATCACGTCACCGTGCTGGCACATGCAAGAGAATACTCATTTTTTAAATCGCAACACGCCGCCGCTCACTCCGCCAACCCCACCACCACGGTTTACACGCCGGAGCGGCTCCGGTCGCTCCGCATAAAAAAATGCACCCTAAGACTCGATCCATCCCCTTGATCCATCCTTTCCAAGAAGATCCTTTCCTTCCCGCGAAGCAAAACAGGTTAAATTAGCTCCGTTGATTTGATAGGCTAACAGGGCGATCACAGCGCCACGGGTGAGAAAAGTAAGTTCAAAAGTTTTTAACATTGAGTGCCCAATCTCCCTATATATTGTCTCTGGCCTCCATTCACCTGGCGTATTCCCTTCTTCTGCTGACTGCTGTGCTGTGCTGCCAGGTGGCTTGGTTGTGAACTAAATTAAAAGGAAACGCCCACTTGGAAAACACCCCTCCGCAGAAAATGTCAACATAAGAAAATTGTAGAGCGGAAAAATGTATTTCAAGTAAATTAACACTCGTCAATTTCTCTAATTTAGTGTGTTTGCAGTTTTTTTAGTAAGATGGATTTTGACAATTTGGAAATAAAGGCAAAGGAAGATGCTAAAAAGAGGGTTCAACAGCTCCTTCAGCGAGTTGATCAGCTGGAAAAGGTTTGCAAATTATCTTTTGGAGCTTGATAAATAATGTTTTGATTTTTATTTTTATGCATAAATTTTTAAAATATTTTTTTTGCAGGTTGATCAATATAAGCGTAGGGTTGAGCGGAAGAAGGCCTCTGTAGAATCAATGCTAAAAACGGCTATGCAGAGTCAACTTGATGGTGTTCGTGTCGGACTGAACCAGTTGCAGGTGTCATTGAAGGATGTCCAAGAAATTAAGCAAAAGTATTAATAGTCAAATTATTTTAAAACGATCTATTCTAATACAACTTTAGCTTGGAAGTTTTGGAGGATTTTTTCACGAGTGTGCCAGATTTGAGTTTGAGGCTGCAAGATGTGAGAGAGGAAAACATGAGACATTCCCAGTATGTGACGGCCATGGAGAACCTGAAGCATATTTTTACTGTTCCTGAAAGCGTTGAAAGAACTAAGCAGTGGATCAGCGAAGGAAAGCTTCTTCATGCTCACCAAGTAATAATTTCCTCTCTTTTCTTATTTGAAATTTTAATTGGTGATGTTTCAGAGCCTTGCCGATTTGGAGAATTCACGCGATGATTTGCTCTTCGAGCTCCACAAACTTCCCAACCAAGCACCTGCTGATACCATCATGCTCAAGGAATACTTTGAAGATGTCAACGAGCTCTCCAAATACTTCGCCAAGCAAATCAAATTGATCCTCGGCCGCACTCTAAATACGGTCAGAAAAGAGCCAACTGTGATTGTCACTGCGCTGAGGATAATTGAGAGGGAGGAAAAAGCTGACGCTGAAGCCCAAGAGGTACAATTCAAATTATTATAATTAAATCTTCATTAACAAAAATCTTGTAGCGTTTCCAGCGTAGTGGTTTTATGCCTCCTGGACGCCCTAAAAAGTGGAAACAGATGTCGATGGATGTTTTGGCTGTTGGTGCTGCACAGAGAATTGAAGGAACACAAACAGATGAACGCTCCGACAACAAAATGTGGCTTGTACGACACTTAGAGGTAAAATTTTATTGTCGAGTGGCCATAATAATAATATGTTTTCTCAACGTTGTAGTTAACCAGACTCCTGATTTCTGAAGATTTGCAAGTTGTCAAGGACCTTTGTGTGCCTTGCTTTCCTCCACATTATGACGTTTTAAATATGTTTGTAAAAATGTACCACGACTCGTTATCACGCCACGTAAGTTGCCTCAAAATAATTGAATAAAATTTTTATTTATAATTGTTGGTCCAAATCAATTAGCTGATGGACTTGATACATGCTGGTTTGGTCGGGAATGAGTATGTGACTCTTCTCTCTTGGATTAAGAACACTTACAACGGTTCTGATCTTATGATGAACCCTGAACTGAACATAAATACTTCTTCGTTGGGACCTCTTCTATCAAGTGAGAAGGTCGTAGAGTTGGAGGACCAGTACTTGAAGGTAAGAGCGATTTAAAACATAAATCTATATAATCATTGAAAATTAATTTCAAAATTTAAAGAATATGGAAATGAACTACTCCGAGTGGATGTACAAGACTCTGGAAACGGAGAAGCAAGATTGGATGAAAGAATCACAGCCTGATACGGATGATCAAGAATACTATCACACCGTGGCTCCAGTCATAATTTTCCAAATGATTGAACAGAATCTGCAAGTTACAAACACAATAAGGTTTATTAAATAAACAAAATGTTTCAACCTTAATGAAATGTGGTATATTTTTAGCCACGATCTAACGTTCAAGGCGCTCTTGCTGAGCATCGGGCAAGTTGCCCAATATGGCAATCTTTATAGAGAAGCCATCTTTCAATACAAAGTCAGTCACTTTGAAGATAGAAAATTGGTAAGGATATCTATTTTGATATTTTAGTCACTTTTTAATGAATTTATCACAGAACCCATATTTCACAACTTACATGATTAAAATTGTCAACAACTGTCTTCAATTCGAAGAGCTAGCAAACCAAACAAAAATGCATTACTGGAAGCCAGGCATTCATGATATCATGGCTGGCCAAAGATTTGAGACTTTGAGGATGACGTTCCAGGTAATACTCACCCTAAAATGAAAATAGAGACTTATGATTGCTTTTTTTTAGAATTTGCGAACTGAGTCAGCTCGTTACTTATTAGAAGAGGCATTGTTAGATTTGGAGCTTCATTTTCAAGAATTTGTTACTGCAAAGTGGGTGGGAAGTAGTTCGGCGGTCGACACAATTTGTGTCACTCTGGATGACTACATTAGCGATTACAGGCACTTGCGGCCAGAAAATTTTGATTTGGTCATTACTGAGTGCATCAACACTGTTGCCAAAAAATATATCACAGCAATGCTGCAAAAGAAGATGGCCTTCAAAACTAGTGACGATCGACGAGAGGGTGCTAACCAGATAATTAATGAGGCAAATAAACTACAGGCATTTTTCTTAAAAGTTGCTCATGATATGGCTCGTGAAAATACTTGTTTGGAAGCCATCAACTCACTTGCCGAGGTGCTGAAAAATGAAGACTCGGAAATGCTCTCCTTGGACCTGCATGCACTGGTTGAAAAGTATCCTGATGTCACTACAGAGCACTTGATCCAGTTGTTACTTTTGCGCGGAGACGTATCAAAATCAGAGGCTAGAGAAATGGCAAGTTTTGCGCTTTCAAACAGAAAAGAAAAAGACTCGAAACATTCCAAGACGATTTTTTCGCTAGTAACAGGTATTACCGTCAGCTTTTTCTAACTTAATTAGGCTATGTTCATGATTAAATATCATGTCATTATTTTAAATCATGGGGAATGGAAAAATTAAATATATATTACATGCAGTAGATCGTTTCATAATTATATACCTTCACCCTCTTTCCAATATAAATAATCGCAAATAATAATAATTCTCTTATTAAACGTGTTTGCCGCGTACATGCGCTGCTGGAGCAGCGCGCATTATAGGCAATTTTGAGAATTTTCCAAATTCCTTAAATCCATCACTAATATACACTTAAAGGAATCGGCCTGGAAAGTTTTATCCAAATTGGCTGACCCATGCCAAAAGTTGGTCAAAATTATAAAAAAAACTTCTGCCCTTTTGATGCCGGGCATTTTAGCAGACATCTGCTAGTTGAAAACCCTTTCTTCTCTTTTTTTAAAATTAAAAATTGTTTTGACCGAGAAGAATTAATAATTCTAAATGAATCAAAAATAATAATGGTCATGTTTTCCTATGGGGGTTCTCATACTCCTGATCACCACGTTGAATTGCCGCCAATTAATTTTAAATACTAGTGTTCGCGACAATGCTGCCCTCTTTGCCGCTCGGCGCTTTTTTAACATTTGACTTGACATATTCAGATAACAGATATAGGGTTGTGAAACTTATTTAGACGATCGACTATTTTTTTCTGGGCTTTGGTTTCGCCTGAATTCATCAAATGTGCACGAATCATGAAATTTCAAGACGATTGACACCCACTTAAAATCGTCTAAAACGCCCAAAACCGTCTAAAAGCGTCTAAAAATTGAATAAAACATAGACTATAGTCTAAGAGTGTCTAAAACTCACCATTTCTTCTCCTGCGGTACACAAATATTCAAAAGAAAACAAAGATTTTTGTTTACCGCGCAATCAATTGATTTTTTGCTGTTGAAGTGGCATCTATCTCTTGGGATGGGCAAAGCGAATAACCAACTTATTCTCCAAAATGCGACTTATAGTGTTTTAAGCGCGTTTTCAGATGTAAAAAGTCCAAATTGTTGGTTAAAATTCAATTTTGAAATCTACTTTTCGACTATTTGATGGAAAACCGACTATTAAGCGGAAAAGTCGACTTTTTTCAACTATTTTCCAACTTTATTTGGGAAAAATATAAAATTTAGTGCTGTGATTTTATAAAAAAAAAATTTCATGGTTTCTGGCGACCCATTTAAAAATCTTGGACAGGTCATTCTGAGCATTTCTAGCTAGTTTTGGCGAAAAGTGATTTTTACCCCCTTACCCCTAGATCAACCCTCGGGACTTGAAAAAAAATCATGGTTTCTGGCGACCATCTACAAATTTCGGACAGGTCATTCTGAGCATTTCTAGCTTGTGTACAGCCCCATCCTCGGGGTTGCAATTTTCGCAGCGCCAATCTTCAGCTCCACGAGCTCTGCTGATCACTCCATTCACTCTCAAGTTCTCTAACACACTTCACGTGTACGCAACGGTACCGCACATACCTATATACACTTCAGTCCGATCGCCTTTTTGGACACTTTTCCTTCGCAGCTAGCGCAGCTACTCGTCCAGACGCCATCTTTTTTTTTCAAAAAGAAAGTCCCAAAAACTGTCCCAAAAAGAAAGAAAGCAAATGCTTTCGATAGCACTTTGCAGTGTTAAGAAAATAAAAATGTATTTAAATTGAAAATAATAGATAAAGTGTACATAACATTTAGTTGATTCAATGAATTAGATTTAAAGTTTCGATCCTTTCCTTCGTTTTAATTAGAAATTAACTACAAAGTATGATGTTAAATTTATTTTTAACATTTCTAGTATTTGAAAACTACATATGTGGAAGCTTTCATACTGGTGGTTTATCACTCTCGAAAAGAAAAGGGGTGCATCAAAACTTTGTCATAGACAAAATCCAAGTTGTGGTTGCTACGGTTGCATTTGGAATAGGAATCGGCAAGCCAGGTGCGTAGATGACAAAATTGTTTTGCTAAAAATCAAAAGTAAAAATTGTGATCAGATGTGAGTTTAGACTGGCCGTAACAATTTTATTTTAAGGATGCTGAAACCAATAACGATTTGGAAAGGTTCAGATTTAAAAAAGCCTTAACTCTGGCAGTCAAAAGTGAGCACCCAGAAGAGAGTTGAAGACGACTGTAAAAAATTGTCAGCTCTAGATAAATTGTATATAATGTGTCTCAGATATTCTAGCTAGCATTCAGTATCTAGGAATTGCTTTATGACGAGCTAATATCAAAGTCAGATCTGATATTTGTCAGTGATGTGGACACATGCCTTACATGATTGCCACAACAAAGGTCCTCTGGAGTGGTTTGGGAAAAAATCAAACTAATTTTATCCCCCCCCCCCCCAATAAAGAAAGATAAGAGACACAAGAGGATTTTTTTAATTAAGTACTGAACCCTTTGCAAAAATTCTTAATTTTGATTTAGTTAACTCGGGAGAAAGAATAAAATAAACAATATCGTATTTAACTGCTGGTTGTCTTCTTCTGGGTTATATTCCCTATTTAGTACAATTCTACTTTTCAGATAATACTTTTAATTTAGTGGGGAAAATCACTGATGGGAGGCGGGGCGGGTTGCTTCATCACGGGTGGGGTTGGAAGTTCTCTCGAGGTCGCTGCTCGGATGACACCGGACGAGATGAAGGGCTGCTGCAGGGTCGGACAGGTTCTCCTGGGAGCGCTGATAGTCAGTCACAGAGAAAAGGCCTGGCGACTCACTGGGGTGTTGAACCCGGGGGACAGCTGTTGGGTCAGCAGGTGGTCGCCAGATTGGGAATCTAGGGACGACAAAGAGGGAATGAGTATTTTGATTTAAACAATTATCATGTGAGCTGGTGCTAAATGCAACAACAAATGTAAGAACTTCGTTTACCTGTCAGTTCTGCAGGCAAAACTCGGGGGTGTGTCTCGAGGGTGTCAGGCTGGGGTGTTAATTGTCCGGCGGAGGTGCCGCCTGGTCCAGGTCGCCGGCTGGTGAGGTTCAAAATCCTCCAAAGCTATGAAGCGTAGGTTGTTAGGCTGTTTTCGAACCGTAAGATCTGCCGAAGGGTTGGTCGCCGCGTGCTCTTGTGACAGCTTTTCATTAGACTCATCTTTCTCCATGTCGTCTGCATCATCAGCAGTTATTTCAGGACGTTCCAACTCTGTTTCACGGGCACCTTCAACCAAAGCCACAAGAAATTTATTAAAACTTCATCAAAATAAAAAAATTTAAATGGGGTGAAAAGAGTTATTTCGTTCTTGATTTATATTTTCTTGATAACAATTTTAAAATATCAACTTCGTGACTTAAATTTGCATGGCATGACAAACAAACATGGACTCCAATATTTTTCATGAGAGATGATATCATGGTATAATAATATTGGAACAATAGATGACTCATTTATATCAATTATTATATCAACACGTTGATATAGTAATTTATATCAATGATGGTATACTATAATCGATATAATATATTTTTGACTGGGTACCTGATAACGACCGTTGGTCCTCTGCGGAGGCATCAGAATTCTTGGCTTCAAAATCTTGCAAGAAGCGGTTTTCGAACTGCCTCCGTAACATCTGCCGCAGGGGATGTGGTCGCCGCGTGCTCTTGCTCTTGTGAGAGTAGCTTTTCATTAGACTCATCTGCTTTCTCCATGTTGTCTGCATCGTCAGCAGTTATTTCAGGAAGTTCTGCTCTTTGTCTTGGCCACCTTCAACAAGGCCACAAGTAATTAATAAAATTTCATCAAAATAGAAAAATTTAAATGGGGCGAAATGATGACAAGTGAATAATGATATGGTACCTGATGACGACTGTTGGTCCTCTGCAGAGGAATCAGAATTCTCAGCTTCAAAATCTTGCAAGTCGCGCAGGTTGTTAGGCTGAACTGCCTCCGTAACATCTGCAGCCGGGGATGTGGTCGCCGGGTGCTCTTGATCTTGTGAGAGTAGCTTTTCATTAGACTCATCTTTCTCCATGTCGTCTGCATCGTCAGCAGCGGTTATTTCAGGACCTGCTCTTCGTCTTGGGCACCTTCAACCAATCTAAGCCATAAGAAATTAATAAAACTTCATCAAATTAAAAAAATTTAAATGGGGGCGAAATGATGACAAGTGAATAATGATATATGGTACCTGATGACGACCGTTGGTCCTCTGCGGAGGAATCAGAATATTTTGGTTTTTTGCCGTTCTCTGTTTCTTAATTCTGCACGATCAGATCGGCGCTTTTATTAATGGGAGGCGACGAGCCTATAAAATAAAAACAGATTCAATCAAGTTAAAAATATTTTTAGTCAAGTATTGGAATATCAAAGATAAAAAATCATGTTACACCAATGCAATTACAAATAAATGAATACCTTCATCCATTATGATCAAAACGGACGAATCATCAAATAATGGTGATGAGTTGAAGTTCAGCTCCTGCTTGGCGTTCAATTCCTCAGGAACCTCTTCAACAACACTTTGGTCATTATTCGGTGGTGAAGTCTAAAAAAGGAAAACAATTATGCATTGAAAACGATATCAATTTTGCTTTCAACAGCAGTTTTTTAGTTGACAAAAAAGGTTTTATATTAACTAATAAATACCGTTCATGACAATATTGGGGGTGAAGATGTGTCTGTCGGCTCAAAACTCATGTTGTCGGGCTCGCATTTGACGTCATTGGCCTCCTCCTTTTTTACCACCAACCCTGGAAAAACGGTGGATGCTAAAAGATATGAGTAAACGACGATTGATATAATTCTGTTGATGTAATGTACATAAAAATATAATCACAAATTGTGTACTTTACGAACTATTAAGCGCAATATTTAATATATTTTCAAAAGCAACGTTGTCAATTAAGCAGCAGTTTGTCAAAAGTTTTTATCACAAATATTTTTTTAGAGGTGAAACTGCGACTTTGAAGAAATATATAGTTCATAAAAATTCACGCAGCACAAATAAAATTTAAATTATCAAATCATTTTAATTATTCCATAGTTCTCTTCAGTCCTTGATTGATAAACCGAATAGCTAGACTGATTTTGAAGCTTTTTTTACCAAATAGAATTGCTTTATTTTCAAGGAAAAAAATCCACGCCACTTCATGGTACGGTGCAGTATGTTTGAATTTTAACACACGACGAAATTTCGTGGCCACCGACAAGTGAGGGCTGATATAATATCTGATGATACATAAGTTTGGCAAGCCGTGTGAGTGCTGTTGAATGCATTGAATTTTATGTGTTTCGAAATATTTTTGTCGTCGTTGAATCACGCGAGCAATAGTAATAGTATGCAGCGTAATGAATAAGCGTACAAGCGGCGCAAGAGCAAATACAACATGGATTAAATGCTAAATATTCTAAATATTAAAATGATAACAATAATGTTCAATGTTGTATACCTCTCGTTGCAACAACGTGAGGCTTCTCCTGAAAAAGGGTTTACAAAACGGTATTTGGTGTAATTGCCATATTCGGTTCCGTTTGGCTTATTTCTTCCTCGGAAGTCACTGGCAGAAATTGTGAAGAACTTCTCTTCTGGAATCCCATAGACACGATATTCTATCGAAGAGGAATCCATTATTCCGAATTCTGTTCTTAAAACACAATATCAATCGGTGCCCGACTGTGAAATTTCAATTTTTTTTTAATATCTCATAAAATAATGTTAAAATTATTCTTACTTATGATGCTCAAAACTATTTGTCCAACTCATCCATTCTGTTGATGGTGTTGAGCCCATCATTTTAGGTTGACCGAACTAGCCGCCTGCGACCGAATAAAAGGTAAGCAATTCCATGGCTCATTTGCTGGGCTGTAGTGCAGCTCTTGATGACCAGAGTAAGCTTCTTTTCGTCGGTGAGGACACCTATTTCCAACTCGGCCTGACAAAAAAAAAATTGTTGCAGTGGGTAATTGTAATTTTCATTAATTTTCATATTGTATTATAAATACCTTGCCAAGATAGAGTCGGTAAAGGGGTTCTCTCTGGGTACCAAGTAGTTTTTCTTCAGCCTCAGTCTCCTGTCGTGATCTGGCAGTTTGTGTTGGTGGCCTGCTTGATCTTGGCCGATTTGTCAGATCAAAAAACTCAGACCGTACCAGATTGTCAGACGTGCAGGCGGAAGGCTCCTCATGGTCCTTGAAATAATAAAAGAAAATAATTATTATTAAACACCTGGCAGCTTCATTTTTTTTATTTAATGCAATTTAAATTGAATTTATCTACCTGTTCGTCAGACGAGGTGGACACATTTCGCTCTTCCTGTTGTGGTCTGGCAGTTTTTCTTGTCTGCCTAGTTGATCTTGGGCTGCAGTTCGGATCAAAAATCTGGCCCGCAGTGGCAACCAGACTACCACCAGAGGTGGAAGGCACATTCCACTCCTTGTCCTTGAAATAATAATAGAAAAATAATTATTTATTATTCACTTGGCAGTGTCATTTTCTTTTTTATTTAATGCAATTTAAATTTAATTTATCTGCCGTCGGCTGTTGTGAAATGTGTTCGTCAGAAGACGAGGTGGACACATTTCTCTCTTCCTGTCGTGGTAGTCTGGCAGTTCGTCTTGTTGGCCGCCTGCTTGAAGTGGGGCAGTTCGGATCAAAACTCTGGCCCGCAGTGGGAACCAGACTGGCAGACGTGGAAGGCATATTCCGTTCCTGGTCCTTGAAATAATAATAGAGAATAATTTTTACTTTAGCACCTATTTTAGTCTTATTTAATTTTTTTTATGTAATTATTTCAATTTAAATAGCTATACCATTCTAGGCGATAGTTCCTGGGCGACACTCCGTACTTCATCTGCCCTTACAGCCAGTTTGGTTGTAGCTGCTTCAATTTCGGCCAACTCTAGGATGGACTTTTGGTACTTTCTGTATAAGAAGATTGTATAAAAAAATTTTAGATATTCATTAATAAAGACAACATATAAAAAATATACAAAATGCTTACATCATTTCTTCGCTTGGCTCATCGACATCAGGATCAAAGGAATCCGGGATAGTGCTCAAAAGAGCTGCAGAATCATAAAAATAATGAATTTTTAGATATTTAAAGTGAAATGTGAATTTTATCAATTAAGGTTAAAATCTCTATGAAACTATAGTTTAAACTTAGAGGTGCAAGTGAATGATTAATAATTTTCTAGCGTAAAATTTAATGAGAGATATTCACATGCAAATAACTTTCTTATGGGCACTTATGGGATTTGCTGGTGCTAACTTTTAGTTATAGCATGTGAATATCCCTAAATAAATTTTAGTTGGCGCTACGTGACTATGATGAAGAGATCGAGCATGTTTGGTGATCGCCCTGCTGCGTGGAACATTTTTCCAAAGCCGCGCGCTTCAGATGCTATTAGTGACGAATTTCTTAAATTTTCTCCACTCCCTTAACGAAGTTATTTTTTTTATATCATGTAAAACCTTGACGGTGTATCGTACCAAATGTACTGAGGCCTGCAAAGGACTGATTAACACATATTTTTTCCACTTTGTTTATCAAATTAATTTTTAATTAACTATAGCGGCCCTTCAGAGCAATGAGTCCGAAATCTCGGCTGCACGCTTAAGGCAAATTTTCCTGCTTTCTGGAAAGTTAAGCGGTAAAAACAATCTTAAAATGCGTTTAAAAATGCAGTTTAAAAGTTTCATAAAATGAAATATTATGCCTATTTTCTGCTGCAACTTTATACCTGTTTTATGCTGTGTAACTTTTATGCCTATTTTATTCTGGTCTTTTCTGACGTTTTACGGCAGCATTTTCAGCTCCTTTTACTCATTACATTATTTCTCCATTTTATTCGCTTTTTCTCAGCATGTTATCCTCTTTTTTCTGACTACTTTACAAACTTTTAATCATCTTTTATATCCCATTTTTAATTCATATTTTATGACACTATGTTCATGAAGCTTATAAGTAATTAAAGTTTGGGTTGCATAGGAACTTTCCAATGAAAATGTCCATTTTTTTTTATAAGTGCGTTTTTATTGCAAAATTAATAATAACACAGCTATCATGGCCGAGAAAGATTAATTGAAACTATTGAAAGTGATAACAAAATTTAAATTTCACTTCCGTTCCGCAGTAAACCGCTCTCGATGTCAATACTAAAATAGAAAATTTAGAAATTGATTAATCCAGCAGGCTAATCGTGGTGCAGTTCACCCCCACCAATGAAGTAGCATGAGTACCCATGGTGAACATAAGTACCCTTGGGTGCAAAAGTACCCATGCACATTAGTACCCATTTTGTCACATAAGTACCCATCGCAAAAGTACCCCTGCACATAAGAACCCTTCGCCAAAGTACCCATGCTCATAAGTACCCTTAATATTTTTCTTGAAAAATGCACTTTATGACGTCATCTTGCTCAATATCGATATTATCGATACTGGGATAAATCGAAATTTGGTTATAAACCGACACGATAATAACCGGTGTTTATTTTCTTTGATGGGCGTGGCTTGTTTACGTATTTTTAGGGATTAGAGTTTGGTCCCTTATAGCATTTGAAATATTAAAAAACGCCACATCGTCGTTTGCAACAATGCCGGACGTCGAATGGGCGCCTCTTATAGCATCCGGATGCGATATGTGCCAATTTCTATTAAAATTTAACATTTGATCGTGATAAACCCATACAGGATCCGACATCCGACGGTGAATTCTTCATATTTTGGTCTAAATCTCCAATATTTAGAAAACTGGATATATTCAAGCATAATTTGGTAAAATCCAAAGAGGGTTTGACGCTCGCAAAAGACTGTTCAAAAAATTCACTAACCTTTTGCATCGCTCCTGCACCTGTTTCAAACAATTTCTTCAGCACCTCTATTTGTCAAAAATATTTTTCAAAAAAGAGGTCCATTATACCTTGCTCAGGTATGATAAAGTGTGGTGTAACCACAGGGACCTTTAATTATTGTATTGCAGAAGAAGAACTTTAATTGTACAAATCTTATAATTATGTAACCGCGCGCGTTAAGGCCATTTAGTATATTAACCAAAGCTGAGCACAACCCTTAAGTTCCCGCCCCGCGCGCCACGCCACCACCAAGAACTACGACCGCCGCGCTCAGGGCGCCACCTGAGTGCCCAAGCAGACGCTTCCTGGACTCGACTGAGTGTGGTTGTAATGGTTTCCCTTCCCGCTTTAAAAGGTATTGCTTGGCGCCCACGCTAGATAAATTCCGAACTGAATATCCTTTTAAATCAGCTTAATCCGTTCACTAATTCAGTCCGAACCTTAAAACTCAGCATTTGAATATTAAATCTAATAGTAATTCCGCATTAGTTTGGCCAATTATTGTTTAGTTTTAAGAATAAACCATCACTTTATTTGTTATTGTTAATTAACTTGTTTACTTGAAATATCAATTAACCCTTTTTAGTTAGAGCACAAAGATAAAAGAGTAAAAGCATTAAAGGCCAATTAGAATTAAAGCCAATTTCCATGAGGCCGCCAAGTTAAGTCAATTAATTAATTAAGAAGCACGTTCGAGTCCGGGAAAGTCTCCAGCTCTGCGCAAGTGAGAACTTCGGGGAAAAGTCCTGTCGAGAGTCACGACAGATTTGGTGTCAGGTGGGTGGGGTGTGTTTTTTTTCCAAATTAACGCACCCTTTGGAACGTCCCGCGCACCCTGGCCAGCCCAGAGAGCACGGTACTCTCCCGTACCCTGTTTTCGCCGAAGTTCTGAGGATCCGAGACCGACCGTGACAAGCCTGGTGCCATCGACAAGAAGCGACCGCTGGATCGAGGTGCACCGAAAGTTAAAAGAGGCTGACGGAAGGAGAGCGCCTTAAGAAGCACCTTGCCGATTTTGTTCACGGGAAAACACAGGCACACTGCTGTAGAGCGCGACCAAGAAAAACGCAGAGCTGTTAATTTAAGGTATCTCTTTTAAGTTGTAATGGATCCTATTATTTAATTGGGTAGAGTGCTTTTTGTAAATATCAGCCTTAAGGGCGTTTTGCAAAGGTGCACTTCATGCCAAAAAGGAACTCGGAAATTGAAAGTTAAAAGTAATCAGCAAAGTTGGGTTAAAAACGCGAAAAGTTAAATTAGAGATTGGGTGATAATCCTCTAATTGAGAGAATTTTTTTTACAAAGAAACAAATAAAATGGTCCATTGCTAAATTTTATTGTTGTGGCTCAATTTTTATAAATAAGCGAATAAATTTAAGAAATTTTGTAATATTGTACTCACCAATTTGACCATGGAACCTCTCACCTCGTCCGAGTTGGTCAACAGAGATATCCAACCAGAAGACCCACAGTCCATCGCCATTCGAGCTCATGTCTACCAGTTGATTGGCATCTACAAAGCAGATGGCAGCCTGTCCTTGAAGAACTTCATCCACAGTGTTGAGCGGGTGAAAATCGCCTTTCCAAACACCCGAGATGCAGAGCTTGTCCGCCTTGCTGTCAGCAACACTGAAGGCGACGTGTTCCGGTTCGCCAGCAAGCTCAACTTGGACGCCCTCTCACTCCAAGACCTGAAGAAGGCGTTGGCGTCCGAGTTTGAGCAGCCACCCAGCTACTCCGAGGCCAAAGATGCGTTTGATGGCCTGGAACAAGGCAGCAATGAGTCAGTCGTCCAGTTCTACCGCCGACTTGTCAATGCAGGGGAGGTGCTCCTCAGTGCCCTGCTCGAACGAACCAAGTACAAGGAGGAAACACGACGGTTCTTCCTGGAGGAGGAACTGAAGCACCGATTCTTTGAGGGGCTCCGCACCGAGTTTCAGCAAGCAATTGTTTATTCAAATTCAAATCACCTTTCCAGCATGAGGGAAATTGCAGAAAATCAAGAGCACTTCTTGCGGCGAACCAAGCTCCGGCGTGAGCGTGAGGAGCAAGCTCAAGCAGCTGAGGATGAAAAATTGCAGCAGCAGCAGCAGCTCTTGGGATACATTCGCCAGCTGAAGGATGCTGTCTTTGGTGCCCCCAACCACCAGAGCACTCTCATGCAAACCACCAGCAGTGTGGTGACGTCCAATATGTGGCAGAGCAATCCAGCAGCACCGTCAGTCTGCCCCGTTCAGCCTCCGAGTGCGACCATCACCTCCGTGTGTGGCTCCACGGTGGGAGCTACACTGCCGATCACCAACGGCCACCCTCCAGCAACCAAGGAAAGCCTGCAAGAAAAGAAATGTCACAAGTGTAAACAGAAGGGACACATGGCGAGGAACTGCCCAAACGTGCCTTGCCAGCTGTGTTCCAGGAAAGGACATCGCTTTGGCCGGTGCCCCGAGCAAAAGTGCACATTCTGCTCAGCCCGAGGGCACCCGGCCAAGAGATGTCCAATCCAGAGGGCTTTGAGAGGCAACAATGGTGCAGCCTCACTCACCTCTTAGCCTTCGTCAAGCTTGTCGTGAATGTCCGCCACTGCCGAGCAACTCGATGGGCTCCCTCCATCGGAAACCAAAGAAAGGCTCCAGTGTGCTTGGATGCCAACCTCGAGCAACCCCAAGGTCCAAGTAGAGTCATCTCATCCCACCAGAAGAGAAGACCGACGCAAGAGTCTTGTCGGGAGGCCGTAAAAGCTTCTTGACGAGCAAGAGATATCCTGAAAGAATGTGAAAATTAGTATGTGTGAATTTTTAATTTTAAGGCAAGAATGTAATTAAAATTAAGAAAGTGAATTTTAAAAGTAAATGAAAATTAATTAAATATTTTGTGAAATGATAAAATGTTTTAAAAGCAAATGAGCCACAGCAAAAGTTAGAATTTCCCCAATTATAATTAAGATTTAAGATATAAAATGTCAAAAAGTTACAAGTTAAAAAGGAAAACAAGATTGTTAAATGTAACACAGTTGAATTTTGTCCAGAAAAAATTTGAGAATTGATTGTGTAAAATTGTGTTTTGTAATTTTAATTTAAGGAGGACAGTATTATGATTTCAATGATTATGTTTAACTTTAAATGCAAGGAATTAAGTTAGGCCAGCATAAATTAGAAAAGTAGAGAAAATTTAAAATAAGAATTGTGTTTTGAAATTATGTTTACGTTGTGAGATAAGAGTGCTTACAAATCGCGACACTTAAATCTAAGCTGTGTTTTAAAATTGTTGTCAAAATGTTAGAATAATTATATGTGCGAATAGTTCAAGCTCACCTCCTACATTCGTCGGCACTGTCGGCAAGCAAAATCGTGTCGAAAATCATCGCCGCATCGACGAGTGCAGTTCTCTCATCGCCAATTTGTTTATGTTTTGTTTTGGTACCTTTCCTCCTCCCTCCACCGCACCGCTGTTCGCTGCCCTGTGCGTGACGTCACGCCTCCCGCAGGAGCGAGCAGGCAAGAAGATGAGGAAGAAAGAAAACGCTCGCACAAATGTAGCGCGGGTTGCTTACCACCTTCATTCATGCTGCTTTTTAGCTATTTAATCCAGTGTGAGCAATTTCGTGCCAAATTTTCTTAAGATTAAAATGTTAAAAATCATGTTAATTTTACGGATAAATTAAATTTGTAATTTAAGAAATTAATTTAAAAAAAAAAATTGGTTTTAAAATACCAAAAGTGGCAATTATAAATTAATAATATGTTAATTAAGGAACAAAATTTAAAATTTTCGAAAATTGTAATTAAAATGTAAGTTCACTGTTTGCGAAACATATTTGTCTATGAATCTGTCCGAACAGAGAGCAAAGGTCACAGATGCCGAGTTGCTGATTTGAGGGCAACCTGGATGACGCGCGCGCTGAGAACCAATTCTCACCACCCTGAGAACCTGCAGCGGAGCGCAAGCCTGTCTGAGGGACCCGATAACAACCCCATTGTCTCGGACGCCCTCGGCCCTCGAGAGCACTTGCGCAGCTTGTTCGAATGCTGTCAACCTTGCGCCCCAGACTGACCCTGCCGAGGACCCGGGAGGACAAAGAAGTTACGAGTCACGAGGGCGTGACTCAAATTTGTCGGGAGGCAGTCTGTGGTGTAACCACAGGGACCTTTAATTATTGTATTGCAGAAGAAGAACTTTAATTGTACAAATCTTATAATTATGTAACCGCGCGCGTTAAGGCCATTTAGTATATTAACCAAAGCTGAGCACAACCCTTAAGTTCCCGCCCCGCGCGCCACGCCACCACCAAGAACTACGACCGCCGCGCTCAGGGCGCCACCTGAGTGCCCAAGCAGACGCTTCCTGGACTCGACTGAGTGTGGTTGTAATGGTTTCCCTTCCCGCTTTAAAAGGTATTGCTTGGCGCCCACGCTAGATAAATTCCGAACTGAATATCCTTTTAAATCAGCTTAATCCGTTCACTAATTCAGTCCGAACCTTAAAACTCAGCATTTGAATATTAAATCTAATAGTAATTCCGCATTAGTTTGGCCAATTATTGTTTAGTTTTAAGAATAAACCATCACTTTATTTGTTATTGTTAATTAACTTGTTTACTTGAAATATCAATTAACCCTTTTTAGTTAGAGCACAAAGATAAAAGAGTAAAAGCATTAAAGGCCAATTAGAATTAAAGCCAATTTCCATGAGGCCGCCAAGTTAAGTCAATTAATTAATTAAGAAGCACGTTCGAGTCCGGGAAAGTCTCCAGCTCTGCGCAAGTGAGAACTTCGGGGAAAAGTCCTGTCGAGAGTCACGACATAAAGATTGCTGCTTGCAATGGTTCCAAGGAAAACCATAACATAGGGAATTGCTGACTGTTTTCGTTCTGCACTGGTTCTGCAACGGTTCCACACCGATTCCACACAAAATTGTGTGGAGCTGGTTCTGCAACGCTTCCACACCGATTCCACACAAATTTGTGTGGAACTGGTGTGAAAACAGTATAGAACCTGTGCAGGCTCTGCATTGCTTCCACACCATTTCTGCACAAAAGTTGTGTGGAACTGGTGTGGAAACAGTGCAGAACCAATGCAGGCTTCTGCAGTGCTTCCACACCAATTCCGCACAAAATGTTTGTGGAACTGGCGTGAAAACAGTGCAGACTAGGTGCAGGCCCTGCATCGATTCCGCACCACTTCTGCGTTAACAAAAATCGGTGCAGACTGTTAGGGATGGTTTCGTCCACAGCCCAACCGCTGAAAAACATGATGAATGACTCAAACTGTTACACGTCCACCCTGTCAACATCTGCAGTAAAAAAAATCCAGATTATGCAAGTAGCATAATTATTATTTGATTAAGACGTTATTGACTTGAAATTTTTAATCACGAAGAATGCAGAACTGGTGCACAACTGGTGCGGAACAGCTTCAGGCTCTGCACTGGTTCCACGGTGCTTCCGCACCATGTTCAAAAACATTTGTGTGGAAATGGTGCAGAACCGGTGCGGGTACAAGGCGTACCAGCTATTGACTTTGAAAACGCAAAATATCGAGTTTGCCAGGCAGCCGACTTGAGACCGTAGTTAATTGACGGGGTAAATTTACTTGCGGTGGCCTAACGGAGAAACGCAGCCACGCACTGGCCTGCACCGCTTCTACACCTATTCTGCACAACTTCTGCACGAAAAGCATGTGAAAATGGTGCAGAAGTGGTGCAGACAAGCTGCAGGTCCCGCAGTGCTTTCACACCATTTCCGCACAAAATGTGTGTGGGAATGGTGTGGGAACGGTGCAGACTAGGTGCAGGCTCTGCATCGATTTCGCACCACTTCTGCGTGAACAAAAATCGGTGCAGACTGTCTCAAACGTCTCAAATATGTATAAAAAAAACTGGAAAAATTCAATTTTCTAATATAATTACAATTCAACCTGAGTAATTCACGGAAATCATTTTCAACTCTAATTCGAGTGTAAGGGCAAGTAAACACTCACCAAATTCTTCTAGCCGTGAAGTTTCATTTTGCGGGTTAATTTTAATTTTCAATATTTTTAACTCATTTTTAAAAATCGGCAACCAAATGTGTTTAGTTATAATTCGGGCGAGTTTAAACATCCCAGATTATATAGAGACTTAATTATTTGATTATTTTGTCAAATATATTAGTAATATCATATTGTAAAAAGTATATTTTCATCAGCATTCCGTCAACAATTGATTCTTTAATGTTACAGAGTGAGAGTAATTGACACTTTCCCTAATTAAAAGGTCTACAGCGTGGAAATATTATTTGGAAATTTGAAGCTAATGTGAGGAAAAATAGATTTTAATTTATTTTCTGCTGTTCAAATAATTCGCTCGCAAATATTCGTTCGGCTTTTTCTTCGCATAAAAAATTAAAAAAATATGAATATGATTTTCAAATTAATGATAAATTGGTTTCTTCAAGATCTTTTGCAAATATTTAAATGACAAATTTAATTGGTGAAGTTGATTTATATTATTAAAATTTTTTTTGGTAATAATTAAAAATAATTTGGATCAAGGATTTTGAGGAAACTAAAAATTTATAAAATCAAAGCTGTGTATAATAGCAACACACATTTTTTTTGGTGTGAAAACATTGAAGAACTAGTGCAGGCTCTGCATTGCTTCCAAACCATTTCTGCAAAAAATTGTGTGGAATTAGTGTGAAAACGGTGTAGAACAACTGCAGGCTCTGCAGTGTTTCCACACCAATTCCGCACAAAATTGTTGTGGATCTGGCGTGATAACGGTGCAGACTAGGTGCAGGCTCTGCATCGATTCCGCACCATTTCTGCGTTAACAAAAATCAGTGCAGACTGTTAGGGATGGTTTCGTCCACAGCTCAACCGCTGAAAAACATGATATGTGACTCAAACTGTTACACGTCCACCCTGTCAACATCTGCATTAAAAAAAAATCCAGATTATGCCAGTAGCATAATTATTATTTGAATAAAACATAATCGACTTTCAATTTTTCTCACGAAGAATTCATAACTGGTGCAAAACTGGTGCGGAACAGCTTCAGGCTTTGCACTGGTTTCACAGTGCTTCCGCACCATGTTCAAAAATATTTGTGTGGAAAGAGTGCAGAATCGGTGCGGGTGCGAGGCGAACCAGCTTTCGACTTTGAAAATACTAAATATCGAGTTTGCCAGGCTGCCGACTTGAAACCGTAGTCGATAGAAGGGGCAAATTCAGTTACTGCGGCTAAATGGAGAAAAGCAACCCCGCACTGGTCTGCACCACTTCTACACCACTTCCGCACCTCTTCTGCATGAAAAGCATGTGAAAATGGTGCAGAACTGGTGCGGAAACGGTGTATACTAGGTGCAGGCTCAAACCGTTTCCACACATGTATATTATTTTTTTGTATGCAATTTATATAATAAATTAAAATTACTAAGTAAATAATGTGGCAAGGGATTTGAATTTTTAGCTTGCTTTTCTTTGATGGATTTTGTGTGTTGTTTATAGTTTAAGTAAAATACAATGCCCTGCTCTTCTTGTTTCGGCTGCGGGCTGCAGTCATAATTCATGAGGGGTGAAATTATTTTGACAAAAATGAGTGTAAAAATATTCATCTCAAAAATTCTTTTGAAGTTAAATTATTTCACTAAATATTTTTTATTTTATAAAAAGTAGTTGATTATTGTTCGAAATATTTTTTTTCAATAAATTAGCCAAAAAATAATTTTATAACATATTTTGTAATTTTTTTATAATTCTTTTTTTCTATATTGCCAGTTTTTTTTTACAAAAATTTGGCAATTATTTTTGGAAATATTTATTCAATTTTTCAATTTTAATTTTGAATTTGAAACTGAAAAGTACGATGATGTTTTATTCAAATAATAACTCTGCTAACGGCATAATTTCGATTTTTATTACTGCAGATGTAAACAGGGTGGACGTGGAAAAGTTTGAGTCGTATATAATGTTTTCAACGGGTGGGCTGTGGACAAAACCATCCCTAACAGTCTGCACTGATTTTTGTTAATGCAGAAGTGGTGCGGTATCGATGCAGAGCCAGCACCTAGTCTACACCGTTTCCATACCAGTCCCACACACATTTTGTGCGGAAATGGTGTGAAAGCACTGCAGAGCCTGCAACTTGTCTGCAACAGTTATGCACCATTTTCACATGCTTTTCATGCAGAAGAGGTGCACAAGTGGTTTAGAAGCGGTGCAGACCAGTGCGGGGTTGCTTTTCTCCATTTAGCCGCAGTTACTGAATTTGGCCCTACTATCGACTACAGTTTCAAGTCGGCTGCCTGGCAACTCGATATTTTGTGTTTTCAAAGTCTAAAGCTGGTTCGCCTCGCACCCGCACCGATTCTGCACTCTTTCCACACAAATATTTTTGAACATGGTGCGGAAGCACTGCGAAACCAGTGCAAAGCCTGAAGCTGTTCCGCACCAGTTGTGCACCGGTTCTGCATTCTTCGTGAGCAAAAATTTCAAGTCGATAACGTTTAATTCAAATAATAATTATGCTACTGGCATAATCTCGATTTTTTTCCTGCAGATGTTGACAGGGTGGACGTGTAACAGTTTGAGTCGTATATCATGTTTTTCAGCGGTTGGTCTGTGTACGAAACCATCCCTAACAGTCTGCACCGTTTTAGTTAACGCAGAAGTGGTGCGGAATCGATGCAGAGACTGCACCTAGTCTACATCGTTTCCACACCTGTCCCACTCACATTTTGTGCGGAAATGGTGTGAAAGCACTGCGGGACAAGCACCACTTCTGCACCATTTTCACATGCTTTTCGAGCAGAAGTTGTGCAGAATAGGTGTGGAAGCGGTGCAGGCCAGTGCGTGGCTGCGTTTCGCCGTTAGGCCACTGCAAGTAAATTTACCCCGTCAATTAACTACGGTCTCAAGTCGGCTGCCTGGCAAACTCGATATTTTGCGTTTTCAAAGTCAATAGCTGGTACGCCTTGTACCCGCACCGGTTCTGCACCATTTCCACACAAATGTTTTTGAACATGGTGCGGAAGCACCGTGGAACCAGTGCAGAGCCTGAAGCTGTTCCGCACCAGTTGTGCACCAGTTCTGCATTCTTCGTGATTAAAAATTTCAAGTCAATAACGTTTTATTCAAATAATAATTATGCTACTGGCATAATCTGGATTTTTTTTACTGCAGATGTTGACAGGGAGGACGTGTAACAGTTTGAGTCATTCATCATGTTTTTCAGCGGTTGGGCTGTGGACGAAACCATCCCTAACAGTCTGCACCGATTTTTGTTAACGCAGAAGTGGTGCGGAATCGATGCAGAGAATGCACCTAGTCAACATCGTTTCCACACCTGTCCCACTCACATTTTGTGCGGAAATGGTGTGAAAGCACTGCGGGACAAGCACCACTTCTGCACCATTTTCACATGCTTTTCGTGCAGAAGTTGTGCAGAATAGGTGTAGAAGCGGTGCAGGCCAGTGCGTGGCTGCGTTTCTCCGTTAGGCCACCGCAAGTAAATTTACCCCGTCAATTAACTACGGTCTCAAGTCGGCTGCCTGGCAAACTCGATATTTTGCGTTTTCAAAGTCAATAGCTGGTACGCCTTGTACCCGCACCGGTTCTGCACCATTTCCACACAAATGTTTTTGAACATGGTGTGGAAGCACCGTGGAACCAGTGCAGAGCCTGAAGCTGTTCCGCACCAGTTGTGCACCAGTTCTGCATTCTTCGTGATTAAAAATTTCAAGTCAATAACGTCTTAATCAAATAATAATTATGCTACTTGCATAATCTGGATTTTTTTTACTGCAGATGTTGACAGG